TGAGACTTCAGTGCTTCCCTGCAGCGGTGCAGAGAAAGCTAAGGAGGCCCTAGGGGAGGCAACAGTGCAGGCAGTGGGGCCAGGGCTGTGCTGGGGTGACCACTCAGAGCTGGAGGAACCATCAGCTCTGGGCCCTGAGCAGGGCAGGGCACAGACAATGTTCTCCACAGGTACCTGGACTACATCCACGTGATGACCTACGACTTCCACGGCCCCTGGGACGGCTCCACCGGCGAGAACAGCCCTCTGTTCAGTGGAGGCAGCACCCTCAGCGTGGTGAGTCCTTGTTGGGAGCCTGTGGCACACAACTCTCCTTGATGCCAACACGTCCTGCCCCAGCCCTGACCCGTGATGGCTCTTACAGGAATATGCCATGAACTACTGGAGGAACAACGGTGCCCCAGCTCAGAAGCTCCTGGTTGGTTTCCCAACCTATGGAAAGACCTTCACCCTGCAGAACCCATCCAACACTGCCATCGGAGCCCCAGCCTCCGGCCCTGGTCCCGCTGGCCCTTACACCAGGGAGGCTGGACTGCTGGCTTACTACGAGGTACAGACAGTCCTCAGCCTTCCCTGCCAGGAATCCTCCCCCCACACCACATTCCCAGGGCCCTTCCTTGCAGACCTCTTGCTGACTTCTCCCCCTGTGCCCTTGTGCCCTAGATCTGCACCTTCCTGCACTCTGGAGCCACCCAGGCTTGGGATGCCCCTGAGGATGTGCCCTATGCCTACAAGGGCAACGAGTGGATTGGCTATGACAACATGAAGAGCTTCAGCCTCAAGGTATGGTGGGACTGGGGCTGTGCTGGGAAGCAGCAGCAGCTCCTGCAGGAGTAGATCCTGTGGCTGATGGGGATCTCTCCCTGGTCCTGCACAGGTTGACTGGCTGAAGAAGAACAACTTTGGTGGTGCCATGGTTTGGACCATCGACCTGGATGACTTCACTGGCACTTTCTGCAATGAGGGCAAATACCCCCTGATCTCCACCCTGAAGAGAGGCCTTGGCCTGTGAGCCAGCGGTGAGTGCCGTGAGGAACACGAGGTCTGTGCTGCTTCCACCAGCTCTGAGCAGCTGCTGAGCTGGAGGGGCATGGCAGGACGCTGGGGAGGAAGGTCCAGTGCAGATCTAATCCTTCCCAAAGTCAAACTGCTTCCTGCTCTCTTTTCAGGCTGCAAGACCTGTGGACAGTGCAGTCCTCACATCCCTGGAGCTCCTCAGTGTGCAAGGGGAGTGTGAGCAGGAGCTGCAGTGACAATTCCAGGGACTGTCCACGAAGATCCCAACCCTGCCCCAGCCCTCAGTCCCCTCTGATCTCACTGTCCACATTCGCAATGATTCAATAAAGCTTTCTGCGGAGCAACAATCCTCGTTTCCACTCGTGTCTGGCTGGTTTGGTGCCCTGCGCTGTGTGAGCTGTCTCCTAGGCAGCAGTTAGAGGAGTTAGCAGTAGGTGTCGATGTTGCCTGCTCTTCCCCTCCCTGTGCCCGCAGGGGTTGGCGAGGAGCCTCTGCTTACATTTGAAGAAGAAACATCCTTGCAGGGCAGAAAGCTCAGTTGCTATTCCTCTTCGTGTAATCGCAGATAGAGATCTGAGATGCGCAGGAATTTGTTTTTGCAGTTTCATATAGAATCGGAGCACTTTGTCCTTGCCACAGACACATCACCAGGAAAAAAAGGAGTTCCTTTCTCCAGATCTGTAAAACTTGCATAAGACATAGAATCATTGAACGGTTTGGGTTGGAAAGAGACTTAATGATCTCCCATTCCACCCCCTGCCCTGGGCAGGGACATCTCCCACCAGCTCAGGTTGCTCCAAGCCCCATCCAGCCTGGCCTGGAACACTCCCAGGGATGGAGCAGCCACAGCTGCTCTGGGACACCTTAGCACCCTCACAGCAAAGAATTCCTCCCTAACATTCAATCTAAGCCTTCCTTCCTTCAGCTAAAGTCCATTCCCCCTGTCCCATCACTACATGCCCTTGTGAAACTCTCTCCAAGCCATGACTGTCCTAGGGTGAAAGAGGAACCTTCAAACACATCTGTCCAAAACTCACCCTAACTCTCCCACCTGTCAGACACTGGTGACCCTGTTTCCATGCCCAGCAATCACTCCCCCTGCAGCAGAGCACCCCAGGGCCTGGCACAGTACTGATCAATCCTTCCCTTTGGGCCAGCTCAAGTGTTTAAGTCGCTTGCTTTTGTCTCTGACAAAACTTTTAGCTCACTTTCTGTGTCTTCTGCCTTCCCTTTCCAGCATAGTAAGTATTTACTGCCAGGAAATTGGCTTGAGTAGTCAGTTTAAAGATAGAAACTAATTGGAGCTGAGCTGAACACAGGGGAAGGAATCGACTCTGCAAGCCAAAACACGATTAGGGATTCATGGAGCATCATTTAATCATGGAGCCTGTTTAAAGAGGCCTGTCTGGGTCTCCTGTGGTGATATTGCTGTTCTCTCAGTGGCTTAACAGCCTTTAATAGCTGAGGAGTACTTGGGGCTCTTGACCTCCTTGACAAACTGTCCCTTCTCTTCAGGAGGCTGAGGGAGAAGTAAGAAAGCACAGCAGTGTCAGTGGCTGAGGATGTGAAACCTGTCTCAGCCAGGCTGGGCCGTGCACACGTGCTGAGGCTGCTGGTTCCTGTGCAGGGAGGCAGGGAAGGGTCTGTCCCAGCTCCAGGCACGTCAGCCCTGCACGTGTCCCTCCCTGTGCAGCACACGGAGCTGCTGCTCCTGGTGTAACAGGAGCTGGAACGCTGGCAGGGCTGGAATCTGCTCAGCTGCCTCAGGGAGGGCTTTCTGTGGGATCTGGGAGCTGCCCTGGCCCAAATTTCACTCTGCTCTTCTAAATGGTGCAGCTGGAAGAAACAGGTTGCAGCTGCCATGAGAACCATCCTGTGGGAAGCCTTGGCTGAAGATCCAGCACTGCTGCTGTGGAGCACAGATCACAGTCAGTCAGGCTGGAAAGGACCAGAGCCTTTGAGATTGAGTCCAACCTGTGACCCATCACCACTTTGTCAGCTAGAGCAGAGCACAGAGAGCCACATCCAGTCCTTGAGCACCTCCAGGGCTGGTGACTCCATCCCCAGCATGATCTATCCAGCAGCAAATATTTGGCATCTGGGTTTGTTCAGATTCATGGCGAGAAAGCTTTAAAGCAACTCGAGTTGTCTCATCCAAAGGCAATAGGTCTCTTGGGCAGGAGCTCCACGCAGAGACCATTCAGGGCACTCTGCCCAACCAGGACAGACTCATCTCTCTCTGCTTCTTATGACATCAGGTCATTTGTTCAAAGGTATCTATTATTAAGCTGCTTTCCCCACTCCCAGTTCTTCCTTCCAAGGGCTGGATCTGTTCTGCTTCACACCATCTTCCTCTGGCGTTTGAGTTCTTTTCTCTCCACAGCTCATTGAGTGGAACTGAAGAAGTGCTGATTCCCAGATACCAACATTCCCTGCTCCCCGGGGGATTCTTTCCTCCTGCATGTGTATTCCCAGAAACACCACCTCTGACTCACCCTGGTTACGAAATGCTGCAGCCACTTCCCCTGCTGCTTCCACACTGTCCTCCTTTATTCACCTTCTGTCCCCAGGGACGTTTTCTCAGGCCTTGGAAGAGTTTTTCCAGGATTTGCTGCAGTGCTGCAACCACCCATTGTATAGTCCACCCTTACAGCACATCTTTCATCTTCCCTGACTCTCTCCTGGCACTAAACTGCTATAATTAGGCTCTGTAAACAAATCTCAAGCTTCTCTGATGTTGTGAAACACTCAAACTCGATTTCTGACCATCCTGTTCCCCAAATAGACCTTGACTCTGCACTCCAGGCATCCTCCAGCCATTCCCTGGGGATCAGCACGGGGCCAATGCGTTTCCCAGCTCCCTGTGGAGGTGAACTCCAGTGAGGAAGGTGCTCTGTACATCTGGGAATGGGCTGCAGATCTTCCCACCCAGCCCTGTATCCGAGTGTTAGTCCCTGAGGATTTCCTGGTGTGTCAGCAGGTGAGAACAGCCTTGGAGAGACACATGTGTGTGAGCTGCTCACAAATCCTGCACATGGAGAGCTGCTCCCCAGCACAGGTGTGTGCAGACAGGCAAGAGGCACTGCAGGCAGGTTGGGTGTGCATGAACCAACAGGCACACGGGGATTGTTTGGCTGAGGAAACATCAAATGGCTAATTGGAGCTTCGTTTCAGCTGCTCTGCATTTTCCTTTTCATTTTTTCATGGGCCTTATGTTCCACGAGCATCTTTTTATACTCTGATCTTTCAAAAATTGGATTTATTAAAGCATGTAATCTGCAAAAATCCACTTAAGATTGGACACACATATCACAGCCTCAACCACTGGAATCTCTTAGGGAGCAAAACAGCAGCACCGAGCGGGAGGTGCTGAGCTCCCACAGCCACATCCCAAGCAGCAGCTTCAGTCAGCCTGGGATGTGGGCTGTGACCTGCTTCCCCATCCACCTCACCCTGACAATCCCCATTAGCTCCCAGGAAAGAGCCAGACACCCTGGATTGGGAGCTGAGACTATCTGGGAGTACTGGGAGCTAATCCATCCCTGAACTGTGGCTGTCACCAACCTGGCACTGACCCATGGACACTGTCCTGCATCTCACCCCGTGCTCAGGAGGTCCAGTCCTCACCAGGACCTTAGGGCAGGGCACAGGAACTTCCTTCCAGCCCTGTCCTCTTCCCTCTGAACCCTTCTGAGGATGCTCTGCCCCCACAGCACCATCCCAGCTCATCTAATTACTTACTAAGCTCTTTTTCTGGTTAGCCAACATCTGCCCATTCCCAATTAATCCGTGTTCACAAGCTCAATAACCTGAGCCATCTGGGGAAGTAAGAGAGATAAGCTTCCCATTAAACATTTACAGGACACAACCAGAGCATTGAGGCAACTGTTGCTGAGACAACCCAGGCAGGAGCAGCTGATCCTGAGCCTCCTCCAGCCACTCTGAAGGGAGCAGAGGAACAAAGCACAGGGGGCTGAAATGGCTCTGGACCACTACAACCCCCACAGGGCATGTGCTCCTCTCACTCACACCCACCAATGTTCTTACTATGTTAGAGTCAAGGTGCTTAAAATAATTCAATAGGGTTTGGGGCCCTGGAAGTTCAAGCAACCAAATAGCCTTTAAATAAAACATTGGCTCCTGAGGCAGCAGCTCCAGGTGCCCTTCGACCTCCAGTGCTGAAAATAGCTGAGGAGTCAGGCTGAACCCCCAGTTCAGCTTTCCTGGGCAGGGTGAGCCATGGCCTTAATTGCAGGCAGAGACTTTATCTCTGTCCCCATACTTGAGCACTCCTTGGCCTCGTTTCCACAGAACAGTTCTGGTTCCAGCTCCTGCTGGAGGAGGTTTATCTCAGAGTGCCTCTGTCCTGCTTCCCATCCAAGGCTCCTGGGGCAGTAAGAGAAAAGATCCTTTGCCAACATATCCCATTGCCTCAGCAGTGCCTAGTGAGATCTGCCATGAGAAAAAAACCTCAGGAATGAGCCCAGAACTGGAGAACAGTCTGACAGTAGCTCAGGATCTGGGTGAGGGTGGTGGATTGTTGTTTCTAAGGGTATAAAGAGTTTATGGGGCCACAGAATTCCACAGGTTTCTCACTACAGGGAGGCTGTGGGTGCCCCAAGGAGGCTGTGGATACCCCAAAGAGGCTGTGGATGCCCCAAAGATGTTGTGGATGTCCCAGAGAGACTGTGGATGCCCCAGGGAGAATGTGGATACCCCAGGGAGGTTGTGAATACCCCAGGGAGGCTGAGGATGCCCCAGGGAGGCTGAGGATCCCCCAGGGAGGCTGAGGAGGCCCCAGGGAGATTGGGGATACCCCAGGGATACTGA